GAAACAGAGAGAGAGGGAGAGAGAGAGAGGGAGAGAGAGAGAGAGAGATATATAGAGAGAGAGAGGGAGAGAGAGAGAGAGAGAGAGAGAGAGAAGAAAGAGAGAGAGAGAGAGAGCGAGAGAGAGAAAGAGAGAGAGAGAGAGAGAGAGAGAAAACAAACAAACAAACAAAAACAAACAAATAAACAAACAAACAAACAAAAACAAACAACGCACAACCAACCAACACACGCACACACACACACGCCGACATCGGAAGCGCGGGCCTGGTCGCCGCGGCAAATTGGCGCCGCGGATGGCTCCGCTCCTCTTTGGGTCGGGGGCAGAACGCCGTGAGACAAGGGTGCGACGCCCTCGACTCGACGTGAAAGCAAATGCAGCGGCGAGCCGCCAGAGAGCAGCCCATCTGCGCAGCGCGCCGCGAATGGAAAAGAGCCGAGCCCCCTGGGGGCGCGCGCGCGGCGGACGCGCGCGGCGACGGCAAAAGGCCCTTTCCTGCGCAGACGGGGCCCGCCCAGGGCGGGGCGGCGTTCCCGAGGCGAGCTCGCCAGGCAGGCCGCAGGGCCGCAGCAGAAATTAAAAGCGAAAGCGCAACAGACAGGGCAGCAAAGACCTCCCCTCGCACTTCGGGGGCAGAAGGGCCCAGGTGTCAGCGGCCGTGCCTGAGGGCGCGGTCGCCCCCAGATCCTTGCGCCATCAGGCCAGCCGCGCCCTCGGGCGCGGCCGGCGAGGAGGCGAGGGGGCAAGGGGGGCGCGCGAGCCGCGCCCAAGACGAAGCCAAGACGAGGATAACATCGGACGAGGGTAAGCCGCGAATCTCTGAGATCTGGCAGGTCTGCACCTCAGCGCCTCGAGGGGGTCTGCCCCCGCGGCAGGGGCCCGCCCGCGGCCGGGGCAGCAGGCGCAGGCGGTCGAAGCAGCACTCGGTCAGGCAGCGGCGGCGCCGCGGGCAGGGACCGGACCCCTCCCGGGCAGCTGGGGGGCCGCGCGCGAGTCCTGCCCCAGCGCCCCGCGATTCCTTCGGGGCCTCCCGAGCGACGCGAGCCCCATCTCCCCCGATCGAAATCGCGGGGCGGCGGCAGCCACCGCGCGCCCCTCCGGCCGACCGCCTCGCCGCCGCGGGCCTTGCGCGGCGGCGCACAACGCAAGGCCGACTCCAGTTGGTCCAGCGCGAGGGGCCCCAGCGGCGCGGCTCCTGGAAAACCAGACTGCGAGCGCGGGCCAGCGCTCTGGGCGCCCGCCGGTCGTCGATGCCCCGCGGCGACCACAGCGAAGCCCACGTCTCTGCCTCGACCCCCGCCACCGAGGCCGCGTCGCAAGAAGTCGCGCCTGCAGCTCTCAGCGCACTCGCCTCGGCCGCGGGGCCCCGAACACACCGATGAAAGGACTCCGCGTCCAAGGGCGGCCTGCTGGCGAACCCAAGTACGAGGAGATTGGTGCCTCTGCCGAGCAGCGGCGCGCTGGGGCTGGTCGGATGCCCTGCGCGCCCCCTCCGCAGACGCCCGGGGCGACTCGTCGACTCCTGCGACGCGCCCTCAAGAGTCCGAGGGCCCCTTAGCCAACGATCGCGCCTGCGAGTAGTTGGCAAAGGGCGCAATCTGCGACGAGGGAATGGCACCGGCAAGTTGCCAAAGTCGATCGCGAAGGCGTCGTGCTCTGGGTGGGTCTCGCATCGCACCCTTCTGGCCCACCAGCTCGTCGAGCAAGTTGGCCAGATGACCCCGCCGACGAGCGCTTGGATCAGCCGCCGTCGGGCACGGCTCGCAACCTCCATGAACTCCCAACTGCGGCCCGCGAAGACCTGGGCGACCGCGATGCTGCTTCCTCGCCGTAGGGTCGACCTTATACAACTCTAAATAGGATGATTCCATCGTCGAAAACCACGACGCGAACTCAGCACCCAATGCATGGGCCTCGCTGTCAGCAGCCTGGATAGCCAAGGAGTGCCGAGCAACATCAAAAACAAGAGGCTCCAGAGCCGCGGGCGCCACCTGCTGCCGCGACAGATCCTTCGCCCCCGAAGACCACTCCACCTGAATTAGAACATGGAGACGGTCACTCGCACGTCGTCATTCTCATCAGGGACGCCCGCCCCTCCTCATCTGCGAAGAACAAATCCTAATCCTCGCCAAAGAGGGGATTGCGCGGGGGCGGCGGGCGCCTGATAACCAGCTTTCACTGGGGGGCCCGAGACGCCGGGGCCGGCGCGACTGGAGGCTGCGGCCGCGCCTCTCGCCCAAGTCGCGGCTTCGGCGCGAGCGCGAGACCGCCTGCGATCAGGGGCGGCGGCAATCCCAGGCCACGCAGGACGGGGAGAGGCCCACGGGGCCCTCGTGGGCCAAGCCCTGGCCCGACTGGCGTCAAAGACGAGAGTGACCTCTGGCCCGCGGCGAGCCTTCCCCGCCCCCCCCACTGCGCGAAAATCTGCCGCCGGCTCCTCCACCGCGGGCAAGGCCTGCTGAGAGACCACCATGCAATCCAACATTCGCTCTGATCCCCAGGCGCACGCGCACTGCGTGTTGGACGGAACAAAGACATATCCATTCGCTAATGATAGCCAGCCCGTGCCCGCCAACTCCTTCGGCGTCGCGCTCCAGCCGCCGATGGCCAGCCGCGGCCCCGGGGTGGTAGAGGCCAGGGCGCCCGCGTTGACCAGCGTGGGAGCGCTCGCCCGGGGCCCCACCGACGACGGCATATACGCGCCCGCAGTCAACAGCGACTGGCGACAGGCTTGCAACTGCATGGCCACCATGTCCCGGAAGTCGACGGCTGGCTGGCCCTTGCACCCCCCCCCCCAAGGCCACGCAAGCCAACTTGGTCCGAGGCCGACGTCGCCAAGTGCCGCATCGACTGCGCCTTGGACTTTTCCAGAGTGCCCATGATGACGCCGCCCGCTCGACTCTCGCTTTTGGTCCCGCGCGCGGCCGAAAGCATGCCGATGCAGCCCGCCTTTCGCCAGTCGCGCAACGGCTCGTGAGAGACCGTCGAAGGAGCGCGGGCCTCGGGGGCAACGAAGACATCCGCAGCGCGATCACGACAAAGCGAGCGCGCGGCAGGGCCCCAACCTCCAAAATTTCGCACGCGCAAAGATCGCCTCGCACGCGCCGCGCTGTCTGCCGCGGCTGGCTGCCCTGCGCTGCCGATCCCCCCCCCCCCCCGGCCCCTCCCCCGAGGCCTCTTCCTGCACCCTGGTCGCTGCCCCCGCAGAGCCCATCGCGCCTGGGAGAGGGGCGGGGGCGGAAAAGCCCGGGCCTGCGCGGGGACTGCCGCCGCTGCCATAGGCCCCGCGTGGGGAAGAGAAAGTTTGCGAACATGTAGCGGCCGAACTCGATGTCGTAGCTGGTACGCGTGCCCCTCGAACCAAAGGCCCGCCATGTTCGAGGGCGTCGCGCGCGCTAAAGACACGGCGATGCCTCCGCGCTCGCCGCAGACCTCGCTGCAACCAACATCGCCTCCGCATCCGCCTTCAGCTTCAGCTCGAGAGCCGCCGATCTGGCCTTCTCGACTGCGTCGGAATCGCCCGCGACCGCCTGCTCTGCATGGCCATCGGCCTGCCCGGCCGCCGCCGCCGACGCCGACGCCCCCGCGCCGCCCGCCCCTGCCGCGGCCGGCGGCGCAGGGGAGTGCTCCCCGCGGCGCTTGGTGAGCTTCTCCCGCGTTTCCCAGAGCTTCTCACGGTGCTCATTCAGCTTGTTTTGCACCTCGCCGCGCGTCGCCTTCAGCGTGTGCATCAACGCCTCCATCACCGCCATCTTTCTCTCATCCAGTTTGTCGACGTCGCTCTGCTCCATGAGGCCGTCGGCGTTGCTGAACTCGTCGCCCAGATAGATCGAAAACATCAACGCTGGCAGCGGCGCTGACAAGTCGATGACGCCTCCTTGCACTGTAGCGCCTGCGGCCGCAGCAGTGGTTGGCACCATGGAGCGGAAGAGCGCGGCCCTCTCGGCCTCTGCCTTCGCCAAGATGCTCGCCGCCTCCTGCAAGGATGCCGTGCACTTCTCGAGCTCCATCGTCAGCTTGAACTGCTGCGCCTGCGCCTTGTCGAATGCCGTCTGCGCCCTCTGGACCTTCGACGCCGCCGCTGTCACCTGCTGCGTGACGGTCTGCGTCGGCTCGAACTTCTTGCCCGCGGCCCGAGCAGCGTCGAGCAAGGCATGGGCCGCCCTCGCCTGCTCGGTGCCCCCCCGCGGTCCTTGATGACCGCCTCCAGCTGCGCCTCCAACGCCGCCGAGGACTGGTTGCCCTTGCCCTTGCGTTTGCCGCCACCTTTGGGCAACTTGGGCGCAACACCCTCGCCATCACTCTCGGGCGGCGGCTGGTTGCTGAATGGCGCCCCGCACAGGCACGTGTTCTTGTACATCTGGAGTTTGGACACCCATGTCCAGCGAGAGCACGCCGAGCACTTCACTTTAGAATCATGCGTTTCTTTGGGAGGTCTCTGGGCCCCAGGCAGGGGCGGTGGCGGCGGAATGAAACACTGCGGCTGCTCAGCCACATGCCACGGCGTCCACCCGATGCCGTTGCCGCGCGGACCCACGGCATGCTGGGGCCCAGGCTGGAGGGGGAGCGGCGGCCACGGATCGCCCGCTTGCACCTCCTGCGCCTTCTTCTGATCGCGCCACGTCTTGTTTTTATTCATCAGGGCTGACCGACTATTCGTGATCGGGATCCCCGAACTCGGAGACTGCAGATCCCACCCGATATCGCGTAGAGATTGTCGGCTGCCTCACAAGATCGCTGCGCCTCGGCACGGCAGGCGGTCGGGGCCGAAACGGCTGGAGGAGGAGGAGGAGGGAAATGAGGAGGATGGGGAGGAAGTTCAGCGAGGATCCCGAGGCCCAGTGGCCCCCCCCGGTGGGCTTTGTCTGTGTCTCTCTCTCACTCTCTCTCCTTCTCTCTCCTCTTCTCTCCTCATCGAGGTGCGCCACGGGACCCGACGCCCCGAGGCTCGACGCCTGGTGCTTCCAGCCCCGCCCGCTTTAGCTTCCGGCCCTGCCCTCCGGCGCGCGGTAGTAGCGGGAGCTGATGTAGGCGACGCTGGACCTGTCAGCGGCGCTCGAGCAGGGGATCGACTGCAAAACTGATGTTAGAAGAAGAAAGAGCATAAACATGAACTTTTCGCGCTCAGCGTGGATTTCTTGGATCTGCGCTGGACCCCCCTCCCTGGCGCGCGGAGCGCGCCATGCCAGGGGGCTCCCGGCGCGGATCCGAGAAATCCGCGCGGAGCGCCAACATCTTATGTTTATGTGTTTTGTTGTTCTTCGACATGTGGCCCGGACTTAGTTTCCTGCCCACCAGAGCCGCGGAAAAAAACGCAGAGGGTCCCGTAGATCTACTACTGTTCGACGCACTTTTCCTGGGCTGGAAACGAAAATCCAGCTCGGGGAAGTAGTAATCCTGTCGGTCGACCCCCTGCTCGAAGCATGAGGGCAAGGGGTCCTGGAGGAGAAGAGAGTCCCGGAGGCTCGTCGCCGCTGCCGGGCTCCCTGGGGCCATCCCTGGACTTATGTCGGGCGTGTCCTCCTACAGGCGGATTTCGGACGACATATTTAAAATATAATCCCAGTGCGACCCTACCTAGGAGATGGAGCCCCTAGGAAAGCAGCAATAGTAGTGGCAGTAAAGCTAAGCTAAAGCTAAGCTAAAGCTAAGCTAAGTAATGCTATACTGCGCTATGCTATGCTGCGCTATGCTTTGCTATGCTGCGCTATGCTATGTCATGCTAGGGTACGCTCGGCTGCGCTGTGTTATGTTAGGCTATGCTATGCTATGATTTGCTGCGCTATGCTATGCTACGCGATGCAATGCTATGCTATGCTATGCTATGCTATGATGAGCTATGCTATGCTATGGTATGCTATGCTTGGCTATGCTATGCTATGCTATGCTGTGCTAATGCTGCGCTGCGCTATGCTGCGCTGCGCTGCGCTAAGCTAAGGTAAGCTAAGCTAAGCTATGCTAAGCTAAGCTAGGTTAGGTTAGGCTAAGCTAAGCTAAGCCAAGCCAAGCCAAGCCAAACCAAGCCAAGCCAAGCCAAGCTAAGCTAAGCTACACTAAGGTAAGCTAAGATGATACAAGCTAAGCAAAGTTAAGCTAAGTTAAACTAAGCTAAGCCAAGCTAAGCTAAGCTAGGCTAGGCAACACTAAGCTAAGCTAAGCTTAGCTAGAATGAGATAAGCTCAGCTAGGCTAAGCTAAACTAAGGTAAGCTAAGCTAAGCTGGGTGAGCCCAGGGGGTGCAACTGAGGGAACCGCGGGGCGGATGCCGGGGGAACCGCCCGGGGCGGGGAACACTGGCCGGCCCTTTAAGCACACCGAGTAAGAACCCTTCTAGGCAGAGCCTAGGTAGGGAATAAAAAACAGACATAACGAAACAAATAACAAACAATCGTCACCCAACTATTTCTTTAAACTAGTTTGAAAATTCCTCCTGTAAAGGGAAGTGCCCGACTTAACCCTGGGCCCTGGGGCCGCAAGAGACGCCTCAGGATGAGAGGCCCGTCCAGGGGAAGGAGCCCCTCTCCCCCATAGTCTGTGCGCTTCTTTGCCTCGGTCGGCGATCGCTTCTCTCTGCTTGACCCAAGAGGTGGTCCAGCTGAAAGGGGGTGGTGCAATAGATCTGGTGCAATAGATCTGCGGGGTTGCAGTAGATTTGGGGCGTGCGGTGCACTCAGGTGCGCAGAATGTTTTACTGAATGTTCGTGTGCAGCACCTTGGATGCAGTACAATGCAGTACGCTTCTCCGTCGCATTACGCCTGCCTGCGATACAATTGCTCCAAACCTATTGCACCACCCCCTTTCAGCTGGAACCTCTTCTGGGTCAACCGAATTCTCTCTTGCATGAATGCCACAAGCCCGTGCCCCAGGCCCGACCAACGTCAGAAATAGGGGAAGGCCCCAGTGGGGTCGGGGACCTGTCTCCACGAGGACCTCTCCTCTCTCTGGTGCCAAAGTCGGCGGCGAGCGAGGGGGGGAGGTGAGGTGAGAAGGAGAAGGCCTTCTCAGAAGTGAGGAGGACGACTATCGCGTCGGGGGGAAAGGGTTGGAAGGATGAAGGCTATGAGCAATCACGCCCGTATGCAATGGGCGATGCCTTCGGCCGCCTACGGGCAACGATATCCTCATCTCTCTTAACCCCATCTTCCCAGACCGATCGTGTTAACTTCCTGGCTCTCTCTCTCTCTCTCTCTCCCGCTCGTCTACAAAATCCGCGGCGAGCGAAGGGGGAAGGAGAAGGAGGAGGAGGAGGAGGAGGAAAGAGGAGGGAGAAGGAGGAGGAGGAGGAGGAGGAGGAGGAGGAGGAGG